TCTAGAATTAGGACCTTTTCTAGAATGAAAAAAAAAATCAGAAATAATTTTGCAAAACTTTAATAGGTGGTCAACCAATGAGAAACCTCTAGTTTATTTTGTGTATGCATAAGGTATAGTGACACCCAGAGGAAAACATGCAAAGCCAGTTTTTCAGAATCCTGCAGTCAAATTCTCTGAATTATGGAAAATGAAATGGTAATGGTGAAATATTAAAATTTAAAAAAAAAAAATCATTATGAAATAATTTATTCAGAGGTGAAAATAAGGACACTTATTTTTCTCCCTATCAGTGCAGGGCTGTTCCTTAATAGCCTTTCTTAACAATTCTGCTGTAATCAGGAAACATAATGGTTGTCACTTTGACAGAAATCATTGCCGCTTAGGTTCAAGACATGAAAAGCTATGGCAGAAATTTCAAGCATGTAAGATTACTTACGCTTATGGAGAACCCCACCTTATAATATTAGCAGTGAAAGTCTTAAGTCTGGCAATTGTATCAGACTCTTTCAGTAAGGGCAACAGTTCACTTGCCTATTAGAAGTTAATCATATTATTCTTGAGAACTTTTTTGACCTAAAATCTGTAACCAGAATGACAGGAATTCTTTATATAATACATGTCTCACTATAAACAAGTTATGTTCCTGAAAGAAAAGAAGATCATTCACTTTAAACATTTTATTTTTTAATGTATAGCAAACGAAAAACTAGAATATTGCAGTGAAACTGCAGAAAGTTTATAGTTCTGCACGTCTAAATTTGGATCATATTTCATACATATTTCTTACAAACTTCCAGTGTGCATAAATGCTGATTCTGTTTTAATTCTTGCAGCTTGAATGTAGAAAAGTGTGTCATTTGGATAGCAAATATCAACATTTCTTCTCTCCAGTTCTTCAAGGAAATAAATGGATAAACACAAGCAGCAGAAATTAGTCAAGCAAGTGATCTATTAACCTAATGGATATAGAATGGGGAGCTCATGTGCGGCAGTTTAAATCTCTGGGGTAAAGCTCTTTGCAGCTCTAATTTACCAATTTGTTAAATTTCAAACACAACTAAGAAACATTACAGCCAATTAGTTCCAGTAAGACTATAAGGCTGTATATTTAAATGCCCCACTTGGACTGCTGTCCTGATAAACTGAAACATCTCTCATTTCTTTCCAGACTATTCCACTGTAGCAGTCGTGTTTAAAAATCTCATTTGGGACAAAAGTGAAAAGTCCTTGAAAATTCAATTAAATTCATTCAATTAGTCTAAAGAAACATCTATACCAACTATTAGTAAGAATAAATTTATTTAGTTCATTACTGTCAAATTGGAACTTTAAAGGGACTTCAAACTATTAAAACTGCTTCTATTTGAAATTAAATGGGAACTCTAATTTAACTCTGTATTTATATATTTATTTATTTAGGTTCATGCATCAGAAATATGAGTCTCATATGAATCTGGAAAAAAGAATTGAAAAAATAAACAGCACAGGGTTGCTCAAAGATTGTAAATTTATGAAGCAACAGTGAGGTTTTTCCAAGTGCTATATTGTCTATATTTGTCTATATACACAAACAAACAAACAAATGCACATATACACACATATATATGTACAAGTATGTATCTATTGAGTAATCAGATGAGGTATCTTTACTTGCTAGTAGGGGTAGAGAATTTAAAAATTAAAACCTTCACCTTCAGGAACATTTAGGACACTGACTACTCTTGATTTGAAATCTTCAATAGTTATCTTTCCAAACTGCTTGATAGATTTGAGATGCTGTTTTGCACTAGATGATTAATATTTTTAACCCATTCTCAGGAACTTTCTTTGATATAAAAACAAAACAATTTCTGAAAGTCCACCCTGACAGTTGCATCCTGTTGGAGTTTCTTCACATCAGACAATAGTTTTTTAAAAGTTGACTCTATCATCCCTTTCCAAAACACACAAAAAATAAAAATGTTAGCAGTAATCCATATGTGTTTTCTTTTACCAGAGGTTCCTTAGTCAAGCCATTTTCTCAGGTTCAAATTCATACAGACTGAGAGGGAGACAATAAAGAAAGATTAGGATGAAGGAGAAATCTTCTGCCTAGTAATGCCATCAGAGTCCTTGAAGAGAGAACAAAATGGACACCCAATAATAGACCTAAAATTTGTATATCTGGCAAACATGTTCAGTGTAACAATTGCATTTTACATCTAACACACTAGAATAGAGACAGATGAATTTAGTTTTGCTTTTACTGCTCTTGGACAATCATTCCACAATCTGGATCTATTGTTCTCATAAGGACTGTGATAATTTATGTATTCTCACCTAGGTGAGTAAGGGAAGCCAGTTGATGCAATTTTTTTGGATTTCAGTACAGCTTTTGATACTTTCTCTCACAGGATTCCTCTGGACAAAATGTCCAACACAGCTGGAGAAACACATCATGGGATGGGTGAGCAGCTGGCTCATGGGTCAGGCACAAAGGGTTGCAGTGAATGGGATTGCATTAGAGTGGTGCCCTGTCACTAATGGGGTTCCACAGAGCTCCATCCTTGGCCCTGTGCTCTACAACATCTTCATAAATTACTTTGATGGAGGACTGTGGGGGGATACTAACCAAGTCTGCAGATGATGCAAAGCTGGGAGGAGCTGTTGACTCCCTCAAAGGCAGGGAGGCCTTGTGGAGAGACCTTGACAAAACAGGGCTGAGCAATCACCAGCCATGTGAAGTTCAGCGAGTGAAAGTGCCAGATTCTGCACCTGGGATGGGGTAACTCTGTGTATGTACAGACTGGGGAGTGAAATGCTGGAAAGCAGCGCCAGGAAAGGCACCTGGGGGTCGTGGTTGACAGAAAGTTGCACATGAGCCAGCAGTGCCCTGGCAGCCAGGAGGGCCAAGCGTGTCCTGGGGTGCATCAGGCCCAGCATGGCCAGCCGGGCAAGGGAGGGGATTGTCCTGCTCTGCCCTGAGCTGGGGCAGCCTCACCTCCAGGGCTGGGGGCAGTTCTGGGCACCACAAGGTAAGAAAGGTATTAAATTATTAGAGAGTGTCCAAATAAAGGCAAGATGATGAAGAGCCTTAGGGGAAGTGGTATGAGGAGCAGCTGAGGTCGCTTGGTCTGTTCAGCCTGGAGAAAAGGAAACTGAGTGGAGGCCTCTCTGCAGTTACAACTTCCTCACGAGGGAAGAGGAGGGCAGACACTGATCTCTTCTGTGTGGTGACCAGTGACAGAACCCAAAGGAATGGCCTGAAGCTGTGTCACAGGAGGTTTAGGCTGTAAATTGGGAAAAGGTTCTTCACCTAGAGAGTGCTTGGGCACTGGAGCAGGCTCCCCAGAGCAATGGTCACAGCACCAAGCCTGACAGAATTCAAGAAGTGTTTGGACAATGCTCTTGAGCACATGGTGTGACTCTTGAGAATGGCACTGTACAGGACCAGGAGTTGGACTCGATGATCTTAGTGTGTCCCTTCCAACTCAGCTTAATCTGTGATTCTATGATTCTCCACACCTCACAGCACAGCAGGGACTATCAGCTTCTTGGGCCAGGGAGCTGGAGGCATCAGGGGCTCCCATGGAGGTGGCAAGGCAGGGTATTACCAGACAGATCCATCCCACTGCTCCAGCTGGGGAGCAGGGAAGGCAGAAAGGCAAACAGGGTCAATTCTGGGGATGGGATTGGCGGAGACCAGACTGGTATGTTGGCCTACAGGTGGGGATCAGGCTCAGGTCCAGTGGGCAAAACCAGGATTGGGCTCAGCTCAAGATAGCCAGGCAGCCTGGACCTGACCAAGCACCATGGCTAGGCACAGACCAGACTGCAACATGGAAGCAGACTTGCAGCTCTAGGAGAGCCAAGCACTGCTGCCTCAGCCAAAGTCAGACTCCATGGGCAGGGGATTGTCAGGTGTCGTGGTTTTAAACCAGTAACTAAAAAAACTACTTATTTCTTGTTGTGAGATATGGATTAGAACAAGAGCAAAACAGGCCTGGAGGTGGGGGGGAAGGAGGCCGAGACAGAGCCTCGCTACCTTGTAAGAAGCCGGAAACCAAAGAGGGCAAGAGAATTCTGTCTGTACTTCTTAAGGGGGTGTTTACAAGTTGAATTCACTTTTTAATGGTCAGATCTGCTGTCAATTCTTGGAAATGACCGATAATTGGTCAGGAGGAAAAACTCCCATCAGCCACCAGCAGCTTCAACTTCCTCTCCCTCCAAGCTGTCTTAAAGGTAAAGCTACCCCATGACATCAGGTTAATGCTGAGCTTTAGGGTGTGCTGCATGGATCAGCTGTGGTTATTTCTTTTTCTGAAGCATTATATAGTGCAAGTGATACACAGGTTGTTACCAGAGTATATAAATCCTTTCTTGACCTGAAAAACTTACCTTAAATATAAAAAAACCCTAACTAATTTCTAATCTCCAGATGACATACTTATTATGAAAAACAGTAACTGATAATCATGATACATATTTCCAATACTCAATTTTTTAATCTTGAAAAATTTGGTTCTCAGTTTGTTTTAAAATTTACAAAATTATCCTTGGTTCCTTTGATCTTCTCCAACAATGCATAAAGGCAGTGCTTTGCTTCAAATCAAAGAACAAAGCAAGCAGTAGCATCTGCTTCTGTAACCACTGGTTCCTACCTGCAGAAGAGAGGAAAGAGCTTCCTCTGACAGAGCTTGTTTGCAACTCAGCCTCAGATAGACTGGGGACTGTGCCTGCCTGATTCAATTACACGCCAGTTGACAGTAGTTACATGCATATTTTGTAAGTGAAAAAAGGAGCTTATAAGTTATTTTTATCTCTTCTCATCTTTTCTCCCTCTTTTCTTATTTCTTCATTTAAATGAGAAATTTTACTTGATGGTCAAAACCCCTGTAGGTAAGGTGACTGGGTAGTGGTGGAAAAAATAATGAATGGAGGTGAGTTGCCATTAAAGAGGAAAGGGTTGTGATGACAGGGGTTGGTCTTCTGGAAAGCAGCTCTGCAGAGAAGCACCGGGGGCTCCGAGTGGCAACAAGTTCCAGGAGTCAGCAGTGTACCCTTGTGGCCAAGAAGGCCAGTTGTCCCCTGGGGCACGTTAGGAAGGGCGGTTTTGAAAAGTTATCCTCTCTGCATACTCTGCCATGGTGAGGCGGCACCTGGAGTACTATGTTCAGTTTGGGGTTTGCCAGTTCGAGAAAGACAAGGAACTACTGGAAAGGGTCCAGTGGGGTGGTACTGAAAAGCGTCCAGTGGAAATGATTAGGGGACTGGGATATCTCTCTTAGTAGGAAAGGCTAGGAGAACTGGGCCTGTTTAGCCTGGAGAAGACACAACTGGGGGAGCAATTTATCAATGAATACAAATATCTTAAGGGCAAGTTACAAGTCGATGGGGCCAGATTATTTTCAGTGATGTCCAACAGCAAGATAAAAGGCAACATGCTCAAATGGAAACACAGGAAGTTCCATCTGAATAGGAGGAAAAACTTATTTACTTTGAGGACCACTGTATGGAAAGTGCTGTAGGTGTATCTACTTTAGTAGTGGATCTGGATTAGATGATCTCCAGAGGTCCTCTGGAACCAGAACAATTCTGTGATTCTGTGATAAGGAAAAGTAAAATATTCTCTAAAATTTGTACCAGTTGTTGTTTCCCATGCAATCTTGAGGCTATCAAATTTTGAGGAGAAAAAAAAACAACAAACCATGAGAAATATGGCTCAGCAGAAAAAAGTCGCTATATGTTTCAATTATTCAATAGAAACAATTATAACAAATCTTTCTGGAACATTTTCAAGTTAATAAAAGGAGAGGGATTGTTTCAGGTGTAACTAGTAAAAGAGTGAATCACGAAGAATGAATGATAACATATTTGAAAGAGATCATAAGATGCACTAAGCAGAATTCTGCAAAACATGACTTATCTTAAGTGATCCTAGCATTTTGATTTCTTTTAATATTTGAAAATTTATTCAAATACTACTGAGACGGTGTATGTTTGGGTTTTGGTTTTGTTTATTTGTTTTGGGTTTTTTGTGAACTTGCATGTTTAGGGTAGTCTTAAAAAATTTATTTGTAAAATCACTAATTCCCTCAGAGTTTTTTTGATTTTCAGTTTTTAAGCCTTCTTGACTTGATGTTCAGAATGATAAATGGTTAGATTAACAAAGTGTACATGAAGGAGTAACTGACAAAATGTTACAGTAATTAGGTACTTCGTAATATGCATGGAATTTTTTTGTTTGTTTTGGCCTTTATTGTGGACATTAAATCTGTGCTCAAACAGGAAATAAATGTTATGAGTTTATGTGCAGGCATAATATAAACTAACCATTACAAAAATACATAACTGCAAACAAAGAATTATAGGAAACCATTAACAAAAAAACAGTGTTCTGTAATGGAGTTGTAGCTTAGGCATAAATTGAACTTAATGGTGTCACATTATTCTGGTGTTGCTTTATCTTGATGACAGATGAATTGGGAATTCTCCTTCTCAGTCTTCTTTTTTCTATACTAAAAACACCTTGTTCTTACAATTTTTATGTCTAGGTCACTTCTACAAAATTTTAATCATTGCTATTACTGTGTTTTGTCTTCTGTGTAGTTTGTCTTAATGTTTTGCGTAGTGTGCTGGTCAAAACTAAACACCCTATTCTCGCTGTTATCATAGTACTACATGGTAGGACTCACCGATAAATCTCCGTATCTTATACGACACTGGTGTTAAAAGTATCCCAGAATTATATATTTTCTTTCTACAAGAGCATCACCAATTTGTGATCATTTTAAAAATAAAATTTCTGTTTGAATATTAGTGAAATATTCCTTATATGAAAATATTCCTTATTTTGTATTTGTATGTGTGACATTTGCAAGCGAAATGGAGCTGGTTGCTTTGTCCTTATTGCATTTTACAGTCTTTATTTCAGACTGTTTCTCTGATTAATGAAGATCATTCTGTCCTCTCAAGTGTTTTAAAAATCTCATGTTTCATCTCACCCACCTTTGTATTTTTATGCTCAATGTCATCAACTAAGTCTGTCATGAAAATACCAAATAATGCTAGTTCAGATTTCTGTAATCTATAGCATTCATAATGAAATCTGGCAACACAGTAATAACTACAAGTCTTTGTGCAGGTTTGGGGTTTTTTGGGGGTTTGTCTCATTTTATTTGAAAAATGTCTAAGCAAAATATAATACTAACATAAAGAAAGAAGAAATTTACCTTATGTATGGTAATGTTCTACAGAGAATTCATTCTGTAAGGAAAAGGCTTTGCTTACACACACCAGGAAATGTCTTAGCTATATATTAATGCAAGTGTCTCAGAATGATCTCTTGGCAATAATGGATTATGCAATAGTAAAAAAAAAAAGCATTTCTCCCATACTATAAGAAGTAGATATTCCATGTAATGTACTAAAAAGATTTATCTTGAATTTATGATTCCAGAACCCATCATAATGATACAGCTTATAAATTTGAACTGAGAAAAGAGAGCAACTAGTAATTGAATAGATTCAGAACATGATAGGTAGAAAATTAACCTTATTCGACTATTAAGTTGGTTGTAATCAGTAGCTTTCACAAATACCATAAAATGTCCCTGATTTTCAATCTACCTTTCCTTAAAATTTACATCTAGAATAAATTGCTTTTTTATTACTATTATTGTAGGGTACCTTCTCCTTGGAATTAATGTTAAGATCACATACAATAAAAATATGTCTTCAAAGTACAAAATTATTTTGATAAGGAATGCAAAAGCCAGAAGATACTGGCTTCAGATAAGCCAGCATTTAAAATATATTTGACATACCAGTAAATGGTCTGGATAGTTCCAAAACTGCAAGTGCTAGGGAAGTATTTCATAGTTCAAATTTTTGGCCTTTTTTCCTGTTGAAATAGAATTAATGACAATCCTATAGATCAGATACACATTGTTAATTTCACAAAGAGGGTAATAGTTTCTTCATGTATGGAAATAGGTTGCTTTAATAGGCACAGCCTGAGCCTCATTTTACATCCACAGGTACTCAGGATCCATTCTTTCACTCAACTTTAGGCATTTTTTTCAATGAAAGACACCAGAACTACATCAATTAAAGAGTAATTTAAATATATACGCACACAATAGAGAGAGAAAATGAGAGAAGAATCAACTGTGAACAGAATGGAGTCTTTTCATCAGTAAAATACAATACATTATTTCTTATAGGATAAAATTCACTTTACCCTGAAAGCCCAAGTAATCATTGTGTGAGAGAAAATGTGTGAATGGGATGAAAAGATAAAAATCAGGCACTTCAGAAAGTAAGCTAGGGTAGGGGGCTGCAGCAGAACTTCCCTGTGATGACTATAACAACTAATCCAACAGAGGAATTAGGGCATCATTCATACTCTGGCATTTAGAGAGCTTGTTGCATTTCCCTGAGTTTTATTGCATGGGTTTTTGGCAGATCTGCACAGACCACCCAGGCTGCTTTTCTTCACAACTTAGGCATGAGATATCATGATCTATATCTTTTGCCATGGGCCCCCTACTACTTCTTTGAGCCATGATTACAACACCATTACATTATTACATATTACAAAGGGTTTCCACTTTTTTAAGTTATGTTTCTCTCTACCCAGCCATAAAACTAGAAGTTTAGGTTACACTAGATTTTGACAGATCTGAAATTATTCTCAAGAAATTTGGAATCTCTCTCAAATGAGAAAAATTTGATTGTGATCATATATAAATATATACATTTCATATAATTCATACAAGATGGCATTGGTAAACATGCTAATTGACAGCCAGATTTTGTCTTGGAATTATGAAGGTCTAATTTTGTCATGTCTCATATTGTCATGACCTTTTTATACAGATGGAAATATCACAGTTATTCAGCAAAATGCTGTTTGCATGTTTTATTTATTAATTCCTGTTAATTAATGTATATTGTTAATAATAGTGGGATTTGGTCCATTAGAACAAATCAGACAACTTTCTGAAAGGGATTTGAATCACCATATTAATATAGTACATAATAGATATTTGTGAAGAATCAGTCTTGTAACAAATACTGAAAGCTCCTCCACTCTCCACTCCAGTTCTAATTTTTTTCTCCTTAATTTTCTTTTTGCTTCCTCAAACATGCACTTGTGAAGAAAACAGTAGTACACAGCTACCAGACATCATCTAGGCAAGGCAGCTCAATGGTTTCTTGATCCTTAGAGCTTTTGATATGTATCTGCTAGTGTGTATGTGTAATTCTCATAAATACATTTAGAAGTAAAGTTCTGTTTCTTTCTTGTAATCTCAGGAAATACTTTTGAGAAGTGTTTGAATGTAGGTGTTCAAAAGCTGTGATCAAAACCGATAGAAAAGACAACAAAGCTTTAAGAAAGGTAAATGGCTGATTTTTCTTTTATGTGTTTAGAAAATTTTTATTTGGTTTGATTTAGAGTACTTCTTTCTCTATATTTCAGAAGCCATGCAAACCCAGACTTTTGACCTGTGTGAATTGTACTTTAAATTGTAGACACAGGTTGGCCAGTGAGTGTTCAATCCCTGTATGCTCACTTGATTTCTTGTTCTGGTACAAATGAAAGCCATTACAAAGTCATAATAATGTATTTTTCTAAAGTAAGTTGATATTTAATGGGCAGGTTGGATTGGTTCTCAAGTTTTATTTTCAAAAGGACACAAACTGCTGTGAATTTACCACAAAGAGTTTGATAGATACCTGGCAGGATATATGTCAGGAGTAAAAACACCGTCAAGCAGGAGCTAGAATCTGAAGTTGAATATGTTAGCTGAGCAGACATTATTAAACAACCAAAGATGACACATTAGACAGTATCTCTGCCATGACACTCAGATCTAAAATGTGTCGTTTCTCAACCAAAACACTCTGAGAAATACAGATGCAATAGATGACATTGGTAGCCCTCTACCCTTTACTATGAGAACCTGCTGCAGGAGGGCTGCCCATGACTTTGAGGCAGCACATAGGACTTCAGTAATTTCTGTGCCTTCCTATATCCAAAATCATTCTGTAGTGAAAGGACCTGAGTCTATGGAAGGTTGTTCCTGAGAAATCCCTTGCACTTCAAAAGGCACCTGATATGAAAATGATGTGTACAACCACATATACTACTATTTCTTACTTATGTGCATTAATATTTATTTTAGCTGTGAGGATTTTGAAATTCTAGCCCATTATTCATTGTTCTTTAATGTACCACATCCTGTCTTGCCAGACTTAAGATCTAATATATAGGTTTGCTGAATCTTTGGTTTACATGTATGCTTGCTTGCATGCTGGTTTGCTAGATTGTTTGTTGTTGATGGCATTGAAAGGATCTATAGGATAAGCTGCTTCCACAAAATCCTTCCAAAATATACATGAAATAATTTACTCTCATTGGTCTATGCTGTGATAATGCTAATGAAGTTAGATTTTATAGTAGTAGTGAGCTAAAGAGAATTGTCGAAACTTGACCTTAATCATTCAGGATACTAGCTAATATAGAGAAGGGTAGTTCAGAGGTTTAGGCAAATTCCCTGTGAAAATTCAATGTAGGAAATTTTCTCATGTGATAGCCCTCAATGGACTTTTTTTCATTAACTTTGTACAGACAGCTATGCAACACCCAAAAGGTATTTGACAGTCTAATTTGGAATCATAAATGCTGCTATCATGTGACTAATTTTCTTCATCTACTGATTATGTCTGACACAGCACACTTCAAAAAGTCACAGTGCATGCAAATAACATGACAGGATAACAGTACTTACAGTATTGTGCTTACTTTGATTAATTATGATGCAATTTACTGGAAATAAATTATCAGCAAATGCAGGAAAAGGCCACTGCTGTTGTAATAAAGAGAATCTGGACTGAATCCGCAAACAAGATAAATTACTATTGTCATTATTGCAAGAAAAATACTTCTTTTAGTTGCACTATAAAAAAATCTTTGACATTTGCTTGTATTTGTTTTTATTAGCACTCATTAGGATTTTATCCTTTGATGGAAGATCAACATCAGATGCATATTGAGAGAAAGAAAAGAAAAAGTATTAGCTATTATGCTTAACATTTTTTTCACTGATTGCAGATAATTGCAGATATTTTTTGGTCCCTGTGATTTTCATTTTTCTTCATTATAAGGACAAACCCTGGGGATCATTAGAATAAAATAGGAGCAATACCACTGAGCAGTCCCAGCATTAGATACAGCAAATCCACTGATCTGACACACAGAAAAATATATTTCAATATATATTATGTAGCTGAATAATTATGCAAGCAAGAGGATTTAATAATTAACTAATTCATTTACACCATTGCTGAAAAATAAGTATTATATGTATCACACACATTATGTGTGTCACATCATTTCTCATAATATTACAGTTACTACTCAAGTGTTTTTCAAAACATTCTATAGTTTTTAGCACACACTCAAGAGGCCCAAGAAAAGGAAGAAATAAGAGAAACAAAGAGTGGCATGTGAGAGAAAACTGAAAAATTCACATATTGGAAAACTTTATGTAAGTCAATTTCTATCTGGATATTTAATAATACCAGTAAATACAATATCTTTCTTTCCAAATGTCAACTGCTGATGAACAGAAATGCTGAAAAAAGTTGAAAGAATAATGATAAAAATAGTTAAGAATAATGGCATAAATTAATTTGTATATATTTTTGTATTGTTATTAATACCACTTGTAATGTGAGGGTTTGTAATTTTGGTTGTTTTCTCTTTCAAAGACTGAGTTTTGTTAATGTGTCTTTACAATGCAGGTGAGGCATGTCTTTCTCTGCTTGTTAAGGCTGAGAAGGAACCATCAGTTTGGTAGGCAAAAAAACTTCTTTACAGCAAACATCTTACGCCTAGTGTATAACAGGTCTTCATCCTCCAGAACATCATTTGACAGGATAAAAATATTTTATTGCTCCTGGGACAATATCTCTAAATATTTTATTATTTTAACTAACCTACATGCAGTTGAAAGTACTACTTTTTTCTATGGCATGGTGTGTTCATTACAACACCAGGGTAAACATAATCTTTGTTACAAGACTGATAATTTGAAATACATTGAGATATGAGGGGAAAGTTACAGATAACAAATTCATACAAAGTAAATTCATCACTGTAAAAGTGTGTTTAACTCTTCTTAAATTCTCTGCTGATTTTATTACCATCTTTTGAGGAAGAAATTATACTTGTTGGTGGATGCAGTGTCAGATTGTTCTGTTTTGTGACAGATTTGATGCTTACAGAAATAGTTTTTTCTAAAGTTCCAAGAGTTCATCCCACACTGAAATCCATCTATTTCAATAGCTCTAACAATATTTCTTGCAGCTATCCTTGTACTGTTACATAAGTTCTTTAATACAATAACTGTACAAGGACTCTCAGATATTCCCAGAGAACAACCATCTCCTGAGAACATTATTGTTGTCTGAAAAAGCATAAGATCATTTCTAGCCTTTTACTTTATAGAGTAATAGATAAACATTTCTTACTCAAGAAAGAAAGCAGTTTTTTCACAATTCATTTTTCTCCTTCCATATTTTTTATCCTTATACATTTCAATCAATCAACTAGATCTGAAAACACAGCTATTCAAGGAAAGTTATCACATTGCTGACTTGGGGTTATGGTTTAGGGGTGATTATGGTTGTGCTGGGTCAACAGTTGGGCTAGATGACCTTGAAGGTCTCTTCCAACATTGATGATTCTGCAATTGTGGGAATAAAATACATGCAAAATTTCCAATATCAATAAAATATAAATGCCTGTCAGCATGATGAGAGGAAAAATCCTTCATTTAAGCCCAAATCTGGAGATCATTTTAGCTGTGTGTACACTAGCACTGTTACCATATACTAACTGTTTACTCTGGCATATTTTAATATGATTTATAGATGAGGTCACTCCTTTTTATACACTATCTCTATGTGTCAGCTGTCCTCAGAAAAGCTTAAAGACAGCAGTAGCCCTGAAGTTTCTTAAGACCCTAAAATTCCACTTCCATATATACTTTCTGGTGTTTAGAATCTAATTTGCCCTAAAGATCATCCAAAGTCATAAAAAAGGCATTTTTCTTCCTGTCTTCTTTTAACAGGATCCAATCTGATGAAAATACTCTGAGAATATCTCAATTTAGAGCTTCTGAAAATATAAGATCTTCTTTAAACATATTTTGATTCCTGTTCCTTCCAAGTATTTTGGCTTCAGAAGATTTCTGTAGAGTTTAAAAAATGCCATTTCATTCTCTGTGTCTGAGAGTTTCAAAAGTATGTCCAGTTATTCAATATGTCCAAATGTAAACCCTGAGATTAAATAAATTCAGAACAATGATGACTCAGATTCATAGCTTAGTGTATTCCTTTGGGATATGCAGGTTCAGTCTTTTCACAAACCATACTGGATTCAGGTTCTGAAGAGGAATAAAAAATTTAAGCAATGTTCTGTCTTTGGGGGAGGGTTATGTACTTTTTACAGGGCCCCTATTGATTTTATCACACTTTTAAGCATCTGATTTCTGCAAGAAGATCCGTTTGGATAAGTGCTTAATCTAGATGCTGATTAGCCAGTTTGAAGCACTATGACATTAAGAAAGAGCTATAATAAATGCAGGGGACTTTTGATATTAATCTTTGGGTAATAAATGAAAAGATGTTAAGAACCAATGTCACTGTTGAAGCGGGATTTGCTTTCATTTTGTTTTCTAAATATCATCATCATTAATGTTTCTGGGATTCCTTTCTATTTGAGAACCTTAATAAAATATAACATTTTTAATAATTTATGATACAGGGAATGCAGTGAAACAAATTCTAAAATGAAATGCAATCATACTGTAAAATGTCCCTTTACATGTAATAAGAGATGAACAGTGAGAGCAAATCAAAGAATGGATCAAGTTGGAAAGAACCAGAGTGGTCATCTGGACCAACTTTTTTGCTCAGGCAGGGTAATTTTAGAGCATATCACACAGGATTGTGTCCAGATAGCTCTTGAATATCTAGAGAGACAGAAATTCCACTACATCAGGGCAACCTGTTCTATTGCTCGGTCATTCACACAGTAAAGAAATTCTGCATATTTTGGTGGAACCATCAGTCCATCAGTTTCTGCCCATTGCCTGTCATCCTGTTGGCAGGAGCAGAGTCTGGCTCCATCCTCTTGAAACCCTCTTTTCAGACATAGATGCACAGTGATGAGGTCCTCTCTCTGTCATCTCTTCTTGAAACTGAACAGGCCCAGCTCCCTCGGTCTTTTCTTGTGAGAGATGCTCCAGACGCTAAATTGTGTTTGTTGCCCTCTGCTGGAACTGGACACAACCTTGCATTTCAGACAGTTCTCCACCCAACTCTTCAATCCATGGAAGTCCTTCTGAAGCTTCTGCACGGCACTCTGGGTTATTGGCCACTCCTCCCAGCTTTATATCATTAGTGAACTTGCTGAAGAGGCATCTGGACCTTCACTGACATTGATGAATAAGTTATACAATACTGGGCCCAGTATTGAACCTTGCAGGGCACCACTCATGACAGGTCTCGTCATGACCCTGTGTCACTTACTATTATGTCACTCTGCAATCTGCTGTTCAGCCAGATGGGAATATCAGAGGAAACCAGAGGGGATATTCAAAAGCAAAGAAAAATATCCAGAGTAAAAATAATTTGTGACCTTGAATCTTAATTAGTTATTTTCTTGGAGGGATTTCCAGGCATTTTTTTCCTAGAGCAAAAACTAGTTTAAAAAAATAATTTAAAAAATCAACAAATAAACTGTGAATTAAAAAGGTATTAATGAGCTTTTCTTATCCTGGGTTGGTTTCATCAAGTATGGTATTGAAATGTTTTACGAATCAAACTTAAGTCAAACACATTTTTAACACAGCTTACTGGATATTGTCCTAAAATAAGCAGCACAGACTCTTCTTGGTTGATTAAAATTGGACATTGATGCAAATTGCACATAATTTATAGCGTTTGCTTTTTACTCCATATCAGCTTCTAAGGTTTGAACACCATGAATCTCATGGTGGTTTTTTTGTTTGTTTTCTCAGGAAACCCTAAATTCCCAATATCCAGAGATACAGGACCTCTGTTCCGTTATCTTTAGGTCCTACAAATGACTGTTAGATGTTCAAACAGTCACACAAAAGAAGCAACAGGTTTGTTTCAAGTTAGTATCTGCAATTAGATTTGTATTTTATATAGAATTTTCCAGGCTTCTACCTATCTGATTGTCTTGTATTCACTAAAGCTTTTCACTCTGATAAAAGCAGAGAAAGGAGGAGGGAAGAGGCAGAAAAGTATGTCTTACTGCCTTCTATAATACCTCAAAATTGTCAGCTGAATTAGTCAAGATTGGTTCAAAATCAGATTTAAGAAACTGAAGTTATGTCTGATCTCTGACACACCCTATTCATACAGCATTTATGCAGCACTTACAAGGTTCCTGTCATTGAACATTGGGACAAAATCTCATTTTGTCCTGACAGATTTCTGTTCAACAAGTAATAGATGGCAATGTGCCCTCCTAGCCATACGGTTTTGTAAGCTTAATTACTTTCTGCCTTGTCTCATCTTGCACAATCAGTACTAGCACATTTATTCTGAGAACTAATTTGCTATTCCTTTTATTTGTACCTAGAATCCAGTCTGTGAAACAAGCCCAGCTTCTTGCATCTGTGCCAGCTTCAGAGGTTATGAATACATACAATCTCTGCTTGTCCATTCCAGAGCCCGCCCAAAAATCTCACAGAAATCAGAACAGTGGGGTTTACTGCATTCCAGATAGGAAGGGAAATTATGTTCTTACTTTTGGACTATCTGTACCTCATAAAGCTATCTCTGTAAAGATATGACCCTCCAATCATGTGTAACTTCAGAAGCACTTCTGGTGGGTCCAGATTCTTTTGGTATACGCTGGCTTTTTCTTCTTTTGCCAAAAAAATTAAAAAATTCTTCACATTTTTATGAAAAAGTGATAACAAGCTAAACAGGCTAAAGCAGTTCTGGGTCTGCACAGGAAAAGTGCTGTAAAAAGCAGCTTTTTAAAATGAAAGAGGGAAGTTGCTAATGTGTCTGTGCAGCAACTAAAAAGCTGTTGAGGGACACTGAGTCATTACTTCAGATTCAGATTACTCAGCTATCACTGCAGATATGTAGAATCCCTCTGGTTACCTAATTCTTCCATTGAAGTACCCTCCTGCAAAGAGCAAGTTTGCTACTGTGCAGAGCAGTATGAGTATTTTCAATGATTAAAGATAACTTCTGGCTCTAAGTAACACCATGTTCCTCTTCTGTTAGCTTCTAAAAAATTCTTGGGTCTTTTTGTGGATTAAATATTAATTTTGAAACTGCTGACACTGAGGTTTTACTCATTTAGCCACACATTTTTAAGATACTCTAGGGTAAACAAGTGTCTGCATGGGGTGACATATATTACAATGCCTGTAGGAAACTTATGTACTTCTAAGGTTGAATCAGGGGATCAGAAAGTTTTCATGTTGTCAAACGT